AAAAATTATAAATTAATATAAATGACTAAATTATATCTTTTTAAAAATTGGTAAAAATGATAAATAACATAAATTGTTCTAATTTATAATTTTTTATTAAATATATTTACTTATTTATCATAAAAATATTTTAAAAATTTTAGAAAAAAAAAATTACTTTTTTAAAAAAGTCTAGTTCAACCTGATTTTTCAGACTAGTTCTTGATCGATTTTTACCAATTTTGAGTTGGTTCAATCAGTTCTTTACCAATTTATTTACACATCGATTTTATGATTCTTTCAGACCAATAGACAAATCAATTTTCAGATCGAACTGATTGGTTGGTTCTGACAACATTGGTATTTTTAGAAGAAAAAATTAAAAAAATAAAATAAACTTTTAAAAAATTAAAATTAACTTATACATAAATTAAAAATAAAATATTAAATAAATTAAGAACTAATTTTTTATAAATTAATTTTAACTTATGAAGAAATTTATTTAACTTTTCTTTTTTACTTTTCTCTTTTAAAAATGTTTAATTTCATCCAAAGTTACCTGTGTAATATGGGCTTCTTGAGCATAAAAAGAATAAGCATGCGGGCCTATACAAACCTTGGAGACCCTCCCAAGTCTTTTACTTGAAACCCTCACCAATGCAAAGTACTACCAGCTAACCCAATACTGTTCATTAGAGGTGTTTAAAATCGATCCAATTCAATATAAATTACATAAATCAAACCAAAAAAATCAAAATTTGAAAATTTGAAAACCAAAAACTCAAAAAGTTGATTTTTTTTAATTGGATTGAATCAATTTTCAATTCGAGAAAAAACAATTCAAACCAAATCAAATAGAACACTTTTATCTCACTATATATCTAATTATTGCCTTTTTTGAATTTGTTTGATATCTTATATTATGATAAGCAATGTATTGACTATTGAGTACTTAAAATTTACGTGTTTATTTGATTTTTTAAGTTAGTAATTTTATTCTATTATAAATATTAATAGATTATTTCAATTTATAACTTTGTATATTATGATTTATAATTATAATTAATAATTAATTAATTAATGATATTAAAAATTATTTTTGTTATAACTTTTTTCCCATAAAATAGTATAACTATTTTTAAAAAATTGAAAACATTTAATCAAAATCAAAATATATTTAAATTAGATTGAATTTTTAAACCAAACTAAATGGATGATCAATAAACAATCGAAAAAACTATCATAATTTTCTCTCTTAAAACCGATCTGATCCAATCAGTATATACTCCTACTCTTTATAAATGGGAAAAGAAACAATCCATATCACTATTTTTTTTAAAAACAATAATAAAAAACCAATTAATTAATCATGAAAAAGATATTTGCCGACCAAAAAAACCTATATAAAAAAGAGAGAAATAGTAAATTGGAAGTAGTTACGTCAACAAAATAGTGTAATAAAGTTTGCTGAAAAAGGGATTTTTTTTTTTATTAACTGTAGATTATTGCACGTCGCTCTTTATGTAGACTTTCTAGTTGTCTTTATTAAGCTGCAACTTGGAAGATTACAATTTTACATTTGTGTGGAAACTTCAACAAAATGATTTAAATAATTATCGAGAGTAACTTAATTTACGAAAATATTTATTACAATCGAAGGACTTCACGATCTAGGAAGTGTTGGAAACAGCGAAATAACAAATAAGGACCAAATATTGAATTTCACACTTAATCGAACATTCATTGCAAAGATAGTGACGAATTAAGCAACCTAAAAGAACTTGCTGATTATAAAAAAGAAAAGAAAACAAACTGTGGAATGAAAAATGTGGCGCATTACTTCATTATAAAAATCCATGAATATGGAAGATACCTAGAAGATAACATTTGAGTAGCATCATGAAATTAAGAAAGGAAGATTCCAACTAGTCGACCCTCGCCCCAAAAACCCCATTTAAAAATAAGGGCTCCACAAACTTGGTAAGGCCTTCAAGGCTTCACTCCTGGCGAAAAGCAATTGCGCCATGACAGAAAATGAGCAGCAAATTGTTGAGGTTTCTACAACTACGAATCTACAATCTAAAACACTAATAGAACCCATAACAGACCAAATACCACAATAGCATAGGGGAGGGGAAAGTTCATAACAAGGTATATCATCCCTAAAACCATTCAATAATAAAACTACGATACTAATAAAATGTAAAACGAAATAAATCTTCAAATGTCATCAACGGAAACCCAAACTGGACCCAGTAACTTACTGGCAGTTAAAAGCCAACATTAAACTTTTTAAAGGTCTCAATAATGTTTCAGGGCTCTCAAAACCAGAACTAATGGAAAAGCACTCGATAAAGGGTCCAACAATATCCAGTTTTTGACAGTGCGTCCTCTCGTGCCTCAACATATGCACCTGCTTGAGCCACGACCACACTAACCTATAGGAAATGCACACATGTCAGCAACAGCAAATGGAAAAACAAAATCATAGTTGACAAACCATGAGCTAAAACAATACTGAACACATGCCTATGTAATCATTAATTAATAAATGGTAAAATCTTTAAAATTTTAAAAATAATGATACACCAAAGTTGAAGTTCCACGTAAAGATATAACCATTAAAACTACATATTTTTGGCTGATCACGGTGCATTTATTTCATCCTTTTAAGAAATTAATTACAATATCAAAGACCTTTGTGAGAATGATTTTTTTCTTCGTTGAAACCAAGTTGCAGTTGCAAAGTTCTACATTTAATATTCATATTTATCAACCACTTTTAGAGATCACAATTCTTATCTGGACTTGGGATCCAGAATGCCCATCATAAATCCCGAAAACAAAAATCATGTCACTCACCACTGCTACTAGCCACAATTGTAAACACAACTCTGGTATTTACAGCCAATCACCGGCAATAAATTGCCTGATCAATTTGTGGTGGAATCTGCTTTATTTCAGTTCCAAGTTCTTGTTCAATCCTATATCTGAACAAAAGATGAAATACATCAGAAAACTACAGCAAGAATATTCTAAATTCACTCAAATATAATATAAATAATATAAATTACATACAAATTAAAGCGGTCCTCATAAGTAATCAAGTTCACCGCAAGCCCAAGGTGCCCAAACCTCCCTGAACGACCAACCTGTCATCAGCAGAGCATGCTTTATAATATGTATAATAACTACTATAAGAGAATGAATTAGGTAGGAAGTGAGCACAAATCGAACATACCCTATGCAAATAAGTCTCCGAGTTCTTCGGAAAATCAAAATTAATAACAACATTAACTGCTTGAATGTCAATTCCTCTAGTAAAAAGATCTGCAAATGTTTCACATAAAGAAATATGAAATTTTTGTATTATTATGACAATGTATATAAAAATAGAAAATCTAACCAAGAGTTAAATTATACAGATATTAATATATCACGACATAAAAACACTACAAGAAACACATATAGATTATACAATTATTGATTTCTAAAACTGCCTTCTAAACAAAGAAAATGAACCATAACTGGTAGGCAGGTTTCGCTCACAAGCAGCTGAGCAAAAAATTATCATTGGGGCCATTTATAGGAGGATGTGTCAGCAACATACCAGTACAAACAAGATTTCGACATGCACCATTACGGAAGTCATGAAACACCCTATTACGATGATCTTGCAGCATCTTTGCATGAATATAAAAACACGAATAGCCAAGTTCAGTGATTTTCTTGGCAAGGAGTTCAACCCGATTCACTGAATTGCAGAAGATGATAGACTGGTTTATTTGAAGCTGAAATAGAAGCCCTCATTGTCATGATCATATTCACAGGCTGCATATAATAAAATCAAGAGAAGAGAATAACAAAAGCAAACCTTAGAAAATAGAGTATTTAAGCAGTGGACTTTCTGCCTTTCTTCCACAAATGCATAAAATTGCGTAATACCCTTCAGAGTAAGCTCATCCATAAGGTTGATGACGTAAGGCTTATGAAGATACCTATCTTTGAAATCCTTTACAGTAACAGGAAATGTTGCTGAAAACATCAAGATTTGACGGTTTGTTGGTAGAAAATGAATCAGCTGCTCTATAGATGGTTGGAATTCTGGGGACAGAAGCTTATCAGCCTGAAACACAGAAAGCCATGTAAAGCCTCACACTAATAAGAAAATGCTATATAACTAAAGACAAAAATCTTAAAAGTGCCATAGAAAGAACATGCACAAATTATGGAAAAGAAAATATGTTCTGCTCTATACTTTAAAACATAAACAAGAAATCAATGAACAGAGACATTTGCTAGACAATATTAAGGAATACAAACTCCTAATCCCAGCAGATTGAACAAAAAATTAACAAAGAAAATATATAAATTCACATTAGATCATATTCACCTAAAAAGATTCAATCATGATTCTAACCTCCATCTTCCTATGCCTCTTTAAATATGAATGTATTTTACAAACTATTCATGCTTCCCAACCAAATTATAAAAATGAGTTATTTTCAAGTGAAATATAATTACCTCATCCATAACAAGCATAGCACAATCTTTCAGAATACAAACACCTTTCTTAGCAAGATCTAATATTCTTCCTGGAGTTCCAACAAGTAAATGAACTGGTTGATATAAGCGCATGATATCATCCTTCAGGCTGGTACCACCGGTTGTAACCATAACTTGAATTTTCAAGTGCTTTCCAAGCTCTTTACACACTTGAGATGTTTGCAAAGCTAACTCTCGGGTTGGGACCAGTATAACAACTGCATGATAGAAAAATACAGAGAAAATATTCAAAACATGGGTAAGGGCGATCATCATGCTTATGAAAAAAGTCAACGACTATGAAATAACTGATTGCAGAATTAAATCATGAACCAACAACTTAGTAATGAGATATCCATTAATTCAAAGGAAATTTCACAATCATGTAATTATAAATATAATTTAACATTATTCTTCATAAACTATAAATATAAATTAACATTATTCTTCATTAATTATAAATATATTACTTCAAATGTGGACACAACACAGGTTTGTTGGGTCAAGACTCAAGTGAAGAACAAAACAAAATATATTCAAACTTGTAACAGCTTCAATATGTATCATGACAAAGAACTAATAACATACAAAAATCAGCTTCTTGTCTTTTCAAATATCAGGTTGTTAGTGCAGCTCTAGCCGAAACCTGGCAGTCACAAATCCCATTTTATTTTTTAATAGAACACTGCTTCGAATAAGTAACAGGCTACCAGATAAGCTTATGGAACTGAGACAATTGTTATATAGTCTCTTAACTAGGTTATGAGAAGCATGCGAAAAGCAGAAGCTAAGAGGACTACAGGAGGACATCAAACCTTGAATAACATTAATATCCTGGTCAATTTTTTCCAGAGCAGGAATGCAAAATGCAGCTGTTTTGCCAGTTCCATTTTTAGCCCTTGCAAGAATGTCACTACCAGTTAGAGCAATAGGGATGCTTTCTTCTTGGATGGGAGAAGGCCTTTCAAAACCCTTTTCATATATTCCCATGAGAAGCTCTCGCTTCAAAAAGTAATCCTCAAATTCATTCCCTTTAGTTGCTGTTACATCCTGGGAAACAAAAAAGAAGACAGATCAAGACCAACATGTAAATATTATGAAGCAAAATTTAATAATAAAAAACTCCATAATCATAGTAGCTAAATCGATTAATCCATGGATGATATCAGTTATTGTGCCTTTCATGTAGATATTAGACATATTAAGTGAATATGCAAAATATAACCACACCACACTCAGATATCTAAAACTTAGGGTAAATGCTAGTGACTGCACTAGTTAGAAGGTATAAAATTCAGTACATCCACTAAATCTTTAGGCAAAGCATAAAGAGTCAAAGAAGTTTGTAAATTCTACAAGTATGATTGTAGTTTAAATAACTGACAATAAATCACCACTTGCCTAATAGAGTACAAGTCACTAAAAAGGACATGAATCTAGCACTCAAACACCAGATAAATTCTATAGCAAAAATGATCTTGACCAAAGACTTATAATATATTATGCAAAAATGACTCCATACTAATATGGATATGCAAATACAAAAAGTAAGGAATTAGAAATATCATAAATAAGATGTAATTCTCTAAGGATCTCAATGAAAAACCATGATTAACAGAAAATGCACATAACCAATAAACTCGGGCTGAGGCAGTATTTCATGACTGTACCTCTGTCCTATAGCGTGTATCAGGTGGTGGAATCTTTAGTCTTGCTTTCCAATCTTGTGAACTACTAAAGGAAAACCAAAAACAAATGAGGATAACATGAGAACGCTCTTTCCTTTTGAAACAACAAAACCACTAAATAAAAAAATATAGCTTCATCTAGCAGTAAAAGAGCAAAATCATACAATGTGATCTGTGCAGCCTTCCTTATAACACCGATAGCTACACTTTAGTATAAATATTTTATAATTTATGATGTGAAGCATAGCAAAGTAGTCATCCATCGTATCTAAAGCAGTGACCGCAATCAATAAAACTTAAAAAACATAATCAAACATAATTAACAACAATATTATAGTAATAGTTGAAAGTTTTTATACCATAAACAGATAAACAATAAAACAAGCTTCAATGATTGCCATCCAATTGCATTAATTGTTATACATTCACAAGATTCAATTCAATTCTGAGACACAGCTATACAGATCACATTTACAATTGTTTTCGGTACTACATTGTACACTGCAGCAGAATTGCAGCCATTGGCCAATCCGAAATTTTAAACACAGCTTTTATCATTTCATCATTCCACATGCAAAGAAAAACATCTAAACACCATCAAGCCAACCAGCACAGCATGCACATTACAGAAAAACGACAAACAGCCACGCATCATCACCAAAACACATCAACAACAACAACAACACTGGAACCCTAACCCTAAACCATAAAAATCATATAATAAAACGACGTCACACCTGGAATCCACGGCTTCGGACTGCACGGTCTTCTCGACCTCGTCAACGGCGTTAACGTCTCTTCTGAGCCACTGCTGCTGTTGCTGTTGCTGCTGCTGCTGCTGCTGCTGTTGCAGTGGTTGCAACAAATGCCTCTGCACATAGTGCGGTTGTTGCTGGAACGGAGGCCGGACCTGAAACGAGTGGTTGTGGTTGTGGTTGAGGTTGTGGTTGAGGTTGGGATTCCGGTTGAGGTGGAGGTTGGGATTGAAAGCACCTCGGGCGAGGCCAATCCCGGGAGGGTACCTCTCTCTGTTGTTGTTGGTGTTCATCAGGCCGATTGAAAACCCTAAAAGCTCAACCGCGAGAGAATCTAACCTAAAGTGCCGAAAGAATTTACAAATTGGGAGGAAAAGTAAGGGTGTGAGGGAGAATCTGAGAGGTTAGGGTATTGTACAGAGGAGAAGCGTTAGGGTTTGGTTCTGTTGGGGGAAATGGAAATCAGAGAGGAAATGGTTGGAGAGATCTAGAGCAGAGAGAAAATGAGAAAGAGAGAGAGAGAGAGAGGGTTTTGTGAGGTTTTTAATTTTTATAGTTGAAGTTGAGAGAGAGAGAAGAGGGGAATGGATTTGATGCGTATGTTTGGAAGGGTTAAGGTTGAGGAGAAGAAAACAGCACAGAAAATAATGCAGAATTCTCTAATCTTTGATACTTCCCTCTTCTTCTACTCTACTTTTCTCATATTCTACTTTCGCCCCAATTCTTTATTCTATTCGTAAACTTCCCCACTTTTCTTCTTTCCGTCCCTGTTTCCTACGGCGCTTGTCGTTTTATTTTTCCTATCTGATGTTTACACTTTACAGGGCGGCTAACTAAGTTTTTATTTTTAAAATCATTCTAATCAAATAAAAAAAATTTATGTGAAGTTCAATTTATTTAGGTTTCAATCAATTATAAAATCTGAATGAAACTAGATCAGTATTTATAGTTTGATTTGATTCGGTTTTTATAATTTTCATTTTAAAATTAATTTAAAATATGTAACATTATGTTAGTTATTTAAAATTATATGTAAAAAATAAAATTACAAATATATAAATATTTAAATATTTTGATTAGTTAATGTATTTAATATTAATTTTTTATTTTATTTTATTTTATTTTAATAAAAAAATATTTTTTAATGTAATTTTAATTATTATATTAAATATTTTTCTCATATATATAATTTATTATTTAAAAAAAATATTTTTAATGTTATTTACAGTTTTTTATTTTGAAATTTAGTTTACTAGCTTATAATTTTATATAATAAAAAAATTATGTTACGTGTTAATTTAGTATACATTTATTATATATTTAGAAAAAATATATATTTACAAATAAATGTAGTTTGATTTGCTTTAAAACTATTTCACATTTTAATCTGAAAATTAAATCAAATTGCGTAATTTTAAAATTTAAAAATTAAATTGCTAATTTGTGATTTTTCATCAGTTTTTATCTTCTTTTTTTTATTGGTTTGTAGTTTTTAGTTTGGGTTGATTCAATTTTGAATATTTCTAATTTTATACTTTAGTAATATGCCTAAATATATATTAATAAAACTTGCATTAAATGAAAATACATAATATTAAAAATAAAATTTTCAAATTTTTATTGGAAACTGACACCAATCACATTTAATAAATTATACCTAAGTTTTGTTCTTAAAATAAAGACTAAACTTAAATATTATTTCTTAAATGTGGATAATATTGTTCTCTAATTAAATTGAATTTTAACTTCGATAATATACATCTACATTCAATATAAATTTCATTAATATATATTGTATTACATCTTCCTATATAAAACTTAATTAACGAATATATCAATATGAAAAAAATAGTTATTTAAATTGATGATAATAATTTTTTCATATATATATATATATATATATATATAATATTTTTCCTTCTTCTAAAATTACCCTTATTACTTTTTTTTCTTATTTAATATTTATAAGTTTTAATCAATTAAAGTGTATGTCTTATATTATTTATTTATCTTAATTAATATTCATTTTTCTTCTGACCAATTAAAATGTATATTTTTTTAAAAAATTTATAATTAATATATTTTATCAAATTAAATAATATATTTTATTTATAAGCATTTTAGTTTAAAAATAATAAACATATAAGACTATATAAATTATATTTTATATAAAGGAATAAGTAATTATCTGGATCTTATAAATAGGAATAAAATATTTATATATATTATCAAAACTAAATTTTAGTTCTAATTAAAAAAATAACACTAATCACAGTTAAAAAGAAATTACACCTAAGTTTTGTTCTTAAAATAATAATCTTTTTTCCCCTTTTAACCTTGAATGTGTAATTTAAATTTTAACTAATATAATTTAAATTAATTTAATTATTATATTTTCAAGGTCAATATAAATATTTTTTTGACAATACTAATTTTGAGAAAAAATAAAGATTATTCGTTATGTGTTAGAGCATATTCAGGAAAGTTTAATTTTTCCTTTTTTTTTAAAAAAAAAATAAGATTTGTAAAATGAGTTTCATGTTTAATTTTTCCAATTCTTTTTACAATATCTATTTAAGGAATAAATAAATATTATTCATTATGTTTGAGCATATTTGAGAAAGCTTAACCTTTTCCAATTCTTTTTTTAGACTATAGTTAAAATTTATAAATATTTTTTTTTTTGTAAAAATAAATTATCTTACGTATATAAAAATTTGAAACAGAATTATTTATAAAAAAAAATCTTTAAAGACTGGTTTGCAATATAAAAAATTAATTTTTATTGTATCTAAAAAAAATCAAATATTTCAATATTACTTATCATCAAACTTTACCTAAATAAAAATTTATTTTAATAACAATTTATCATAATTATAATTAATTATCGAAATGATTTAATTTTTAATGTTGTTTCAAATACACCTTATACTATACACTAATTTGGTATATGATTTTGAAGTTCAATATATATTATGTATTAAACTATAAACTAATCATTAGATTTTCAACGTCAACATAAATCTGTATTAAAATATCAGTTTTAAGAAAGAAAGAAAAATATATGGTTAATTATATATTAAACTAGAAACTATTAAAAAAAATTAGATATTTGATTTGAATTAATATTTAAATTTATTTAAAATATAATTACTTCCATTGCAAATCCATTAGATTTTTTGACAATTGCAAACCCACGTGGAGCTCAAATCCTAGTCCATGTTTACTCTAAGTCTACCATATATCACAATATTGAGACAAATGGACGATAGATGTTCTTTACTGTTAACTGAAATGTATCTTTTGATGGGAAGATGAGCCTATAACCTACGTGTCGTGGGTTGATTTCATATTATAATTTCTTTTGCATGGTTAGTCACTAATATAGTCAAATTGATTATATTATATCTAACCAAGTTTTTTATTTGTATATAGAGTTCATGGCACCCCTAGTGCGATATATTAATATAACTTTACTTTTCAGAAAAAAAAAAAAAAAGAAAAAAAAAATTTCTCACCGTTAGACATGTCAAAACAAACTGTCTAGAAAAATGGACCACTTTTGCATGGGTTGTGTTTTTATTGGCCTAATCTGATCTATTGGACACTGAGTCACTTTATTTTATGTTTAATAATTTTATATTTAAGTTGAAAAGAAAATGAAAAAAAAAAAAAAGTATCAAGCCTCATTTTTACTTGTCCTACCTAGTCTCGCAGGACAGGTCAATTTTGACACTTTTTCTCACCATTTCATGAGCCTTTCCACCTTGTCAAAGAAGAGTTATGTATATGAACTTTAGTGATTAGCATATTGTACTCTTCTACAATAAGCAACCTCATTTAAGTTTTTCTAAAAAAAAACACATTTAAAATATGGCGAAACTAGATCTCTGAATGAGGAATTTTTCAATACATAAAATTTAATTAAGATTTTGTTTAACAAGTATTAGACTTACCTCATAAAAATCTATTTGAGCGTAAGTAAGAATCAATATATATTAGATTGTTCTGATTTAATTAATAATTTCAAGTTTCCAGCTTGAGTTTGGAATATGTAGCTTCATCAAATATTAAAAAAATAAAATAATATATATATATATATATATATATATATATATTTATATTTACCGCTCATAGCACTCTTCCTCAACTCGAGCATGGTTGCCTTTAGTTGAGACTACATGTGATCACCAAAAAAAAACACATATCACTGAAACTAATCACCCATTGATATGTGTTGCATTTTGTTACAATGTTTAATTCTTATTACTTTTACTTGAAACAATTTTAGTGTTTTAAACAAAAACTAACTGAAATCACAATATTTTGTTATCCATCGATTAATATCAATATTTTATAATATTATAATTTTATTAAGAACACATAATGATTGTGTGAAAATTACTTGGATAATAATTATAACTTAAATAATTTAATTATGTTTGAGAAAGTGTTTTAGTTTTTAATATTGGAACTTTAATTTCAAATATTTCTATGTTTGACTACTTTAATTTCATATTTTTTATATTATTTTTTTATTTATGTAAAAATATACACTATTTTAATAATAAGTTTTTATTTAAATTTTAAGATAAAATAATGTATTTTTTACGTTTTAAAAAGCAAATATCTGCAAAAAAAAAATTAAGAAAACCAATTAATCTCAATCAAACTAATCCATTTCTTATTAGTTTGATTTAATTTGGATCACAATTTTTTTTTAAAAATTCAATCTAAATCAAACAAGTCAAAATTGATTAGTTCAAATTTTAATTTATTCAACAATCAGGTGATGAACACCCCCAAGAAACTAGAGGATCACTAGCCTGGTTGGTAATCAAACTTCCTTAGCAATCCATACCTATAAATATCAAAGTGCTTCATCCTAATATATTGTTACTATACTGAAATTTCTAGTAACTTAAAACAAAGTATGACCACTTTGACTACCATGCTCAGTCGTTACCAAAATAACAGTTCACCGGAGAAATCACCTATATTCAAGTGTGGATTTCTCATTTGAGTCACTTCCAATCATTAGTTTTCTTGCTTCAAAGTTCAAATATAGATATGAATGTTCTACAAATGTTATTTTCACCTTAGTTATAATTTAAGAAGGCGATGTTTTACGCTTTTTAAGAGATAAATAATCTAACATTTCAGTCTTCGTTATTATATTTATTAGATGCCCAAAAATTCATTACACCGATGCGCAAGAGATGTTATTGTGATCATATATACCACCAACCCGACACTGACGCTGGTGCATCAAGAAAAGGCAAAAGAAGCTAACATTGTGAAAATAGAGCTGGTCTTTCAATAGAGCTGCAGAAAATTGAGATATCAGAGTATAGACATGGCAATCTCAAGAATAAATGTAATTTTTATGCTAATGCAACATAGCAGTTGGCTACTTCAATGCCTCTATGATCTAAACAATAAGAGGCATTGCCTTGTGAAAATATTATGACTAAAATTTGACTGAAGTGAAAACTTGACTTGAACGCCTCTACAATTTGACTGATGCAAAATAGCGTTGGACCACTACAGTTTGGCACTTGGCAGTGCCCACAAACTGCTCTTTTAGGAGTTCAGTTTTAAAAAACTGAACTTGAAAATGGTTTTCATTTTTTATTTAAAACAGTTCATTTTTTATTTTAAATTTAGTTTAGTTCAATTCTATATCAATTTAGTTCAGTTTATTTTCTCTTGGCTTAGAGTAAAGGTAACAAATGAATTCATTTATCCATTATCCATGTATAAATAAATTCATCTAATCCTTCATTACAATAAAAATAAATAATAGATCGGATTCAATCCATCAATTTAATTTTATGAATGTTTAATGATTTACCCACTACTTTTTCAAAATCATTAGACTATAATATGTGATGTTTATTGGATTGAATTTTTAAAAACTATTTTGACATAAAAAAAAAGTCTAACTAATTTTAAAAGATTATAAAAAATATATAATGACTTATAAAGAAAAAAGAGACAAATAAAATATTTCAAAAAAAATTTATTTAATTTTTAAAACACTAATTTTGCCAATGGATTGGATATCTATCCATGAAAAATTTGTTAATAAATGAATTAGATATTTTTTTTTCCTTTAAATTGATTGAATTTTAATAGATCTAAATAGATTAATAGATTATTTTTATTTTATCTATTATGATCAGTCTAAAAACTTATCTAATCCATCCATTTGTCACCCCTATCCTAGAAATAGGTACTTGCTTATTGATACTGATAGCGGACTAGGTGGTCTATTGCAGTCACTTGGGTAAATTTCCAAAATATTGCAAGTTGCAATACTAACAAACTTATTATTAGAAAATCACAACCACCAGCAGTGAACTTTCTTAATTCATATAATTAGAAACGATGATCAACAATAAGAATTGTCTTGTTATGAACTCTGATTCATCATATATATATTTGGCAATAGATTATAGACTGCGAAAATGATTTAAAATTAAAACATTTAAATTAAATGTTCTGATGCACAGAGTTCAGTTCATCAAAAACTACGACTATAATAACAAAACTCAATAAGAAAATGGCTACTTTATAAGCTTGTTATTGCATTCCAGATTTCCACCTTCCAAGGTAGACTGAATCAATCTCAGAAAATTTAATTGCACATATAGGACAGAGACCTCAACCAAATTAGGCTAATGGTTTCAACTCTCAAGTGCATAGAGTTTACACTCGGGAAAAAGACAAGTGGATTATATCATTCTGATAACAAAAGTTAAATTCAAAAGTGTCATCACATAAACAACTACTTGTCTATAACTCAAAAGAGTACCTACAATATGATTCCAGAGAAAGGTGAAAGAATAATTTATTTGTTGCGTTTTGCAGCACGCCTTCCTTGGCCCTTCTTGGGTGGTCCTTTTCCTCGTCGCTTCAACATTTCAAGTTTGGATAGACGTCTACAAAGAGCAAGATAACAAATGTTGAGTGAGTGGAAATCAATGTTAGATAACTGGTAAAAGCTACCAAAGATTTCAACAGTAACATTTGGCTGCTTAGTTTCTAGTTTCAGACATAAATTAGCATTGCTGAATACGCTTGATGCAAGACAACATAGTCACATTCACAGTGGAAACCAAAAACACACTTCACCAGTTCACCTGATTTAAATATCCTAGTTTTCATATTGAGAAAGTAGTGCACTAGTTACTAAAACTGAAGTTTAACAGAAATAGTCATCAGTCACCATCTTCAGTATAATTATTTCTAACTTGTAAAGGAGGGTTAGTTAAACAGAATATAATTTCCACCAAATCAGTTCTTTCTATCTTTCTATTTTGAAAGCTATAAACTAAGTTCAAAGGCAAACAGTGGACAGAGGCAATATCAAACATCCATAGAAAATGGAACAAAAATTCAGAAGGTATATTTTACCTTCAGATCGAAAATAATCCCCCAAGACAACAATTGGCTAATTATATCCAAGACAGAAGAGAAGTGCTAACAACATACTCCTCACTTGTTTGTAACACTCTTTTTTATAATTAGTTAAAATTTATTTAAAACTATAAATATTCATGCGAAGGGAAACATTAAATAAGGAATGAGACCTAAATTTTGTGTCTCGTGTTGAATAGTATAATTCAAATATATGGACTGATTGTACAGTCTGAATGTATAAACTGATAGTTTAGTTTGTACATATAGTCTGTAGGTATCATTTATATAGGGATGAGTATTCCTGTGTAATACACAAGTGTGAAAACGAAATTTTTCTTTCCCTTAGTTTTCCCTCTTTATTGTTCTTATTTTCTATGTATGATTATGTGAGTTTTTGTGTCTGTCATCCTCAACAATTCTCAATAAAATTTTAGTCAAATAATAAAGAGTATGTTAAAAGCTCTTTCCATTCTCCGAATTATAATGTGTTTAACATATTGAGGAGACAACCAACATTGCTACTGCTGTCCACACCTCACACCACACACCACACCAAAGCATTCAATGCATAAACTGATCGAGCTCACTCGCCCCAACTTAAAAAATTGTGCAAAACGGTTTCAGGTTAACACACATATTCTCGACTAAACGAAGCACCGAATCATCAAACCCCATTCCAGACCCCTCCAGTAAAAAATGGAACTTTACGATACCATTCAACTCATTAACCAAAATAAGAAAACCCCACTAACTCGCACACCCTGAAATCCACAGTAAACCCCACAAAAACCAAAAACATAAAAACAAGTTCACAGAGGCATAAACACAAACAGGTAGTGCGCATTCCCGTGTGGGCGCGTGCAGGCAAAAAACGAAAGGTAAGAAAGTGAGACTGCGTGAGAGAAAGAGAGTACTCTTGTTCTTCACGGGCCATGACAAGAGGGTCGTCTTTCTTGATGTCGTGAGGGTACCACTGAGCGACTTTCTCACCGAAGAGCTTCATGCGGAGAACCTTGTGAGCCGATTTTTTGCCAGCGGGGTTCAGTTGGTGGCCGAAGATCCTGGCTCGTGCTTCCACCACTCCTTGATTTATTGCTGCACTCAACATGTTCTTCAAACTACCACTAGCCATCTTCGCTGCTTTTTTGTCTGCGAGAAAGAGAGAAATCGATGCCACCGGGTTTATGAAATCATTTTGTGGGTATTCTCATTTTAACCCCACAATAATGCCATTTTTCAACTAATGTCCCTGCCTTTTTTTTTTTTTTTTTCCTTTTCTTTTTAATCTTGTAATCTTATGTTATGTGGTCTCCTACAGTATTGGATGCGTTAATTTGAACTGATTGGTTTGGGCCTAGCCTGGTGGGTCAATTTAGGTTTGGGCCTGGCTCGACAGATTTTGGACCAGCTCACAATGTAATAATATTTTTTTTTTTTGTCTTTGGAGTATTCACTCCGAGCAATGATTAATCTCCTCGCTATATTGGAAGTACCTTAAAAAATGGGATAGCTGACCCCAAGATTTAACGCGGCTGCATACACAAAGTATGATTTTTTTCTTTTTAAGATATATTATTTTACTACCAAAAAATAGTGCATATATTTTTAACGTAAAATTTAATTTTAATAGCTTACAGAATTAAAAATGATGCGCAGTAATTTAAATAAATTTATATTAGTTAAAATAATAATAAAATGCTTCTAGATTTTTTGTAATAAATTAACGTTAAATCTTCGTATTAATCCTCTTACAAATCTTTGTTAGTTGTTACTATCTTATAAAGAAAAGATTAAATTAAAATTAAATATATAATATTGATCAAAATATTAATATTTAATAACCACTATTCAAAATAATTGAATACTAAAATTTGGTCTTTGTATAATTTTTTTTTCAATTATACAAAATTGTTTATTATTAAACATTGAACAATTTTTTTATTTGTTTTAATTGCGGATTTTTTGTTTGTTTTAATTTTTGATACTTGGAACTATTTTTTTTTTTTTAGATTCATTTAATAGAATGTCAGGTTGAGTTTCAATAACAATATGTAATACTTGACACCTCTATACAATGTCATTGTCAATACTACCTTAATATGTGTGGATATTGATCAAATATTTTTTTAAATAAACTAAATATTTTTATTACCTTTTGTAAGGCATGTAATCGTGTCATTATTTTGCAACACCCGAGAATCCATTTATTCTTAAATTACAGTATCCAAGCACACGTGACTACGTGAGAGTTTGTGGACTGTAGAAGTAATATTTTTAGTACAACAATTATATCATGACAACTCAACAATCTTTTCACTAAGGTTGTAGTTATTGCATTTTGCAAGGCTAATAATAATAAGACCACACAGCTTTAGGCTCCTCTCCAAGCTCTTTATAATTTCTTACAAAAGTTAATTTTAATTTAAATTATTAAGTGGTATATTTTGTTGTATTATTTTTAATTAATTTCTTAGTAAGATATTGTACAATTTAAAAATATGCACGTACATATATATAGTTGTAGATTATATTGATTTGAGAAATTTTATTATCATTTAAAAGGTTATAGAAAATTCAGTTTACATTTGTTTTTAATTTAAATAAAAAATGATATCTACATGATCATTTTTTTTAATTTAAGTTTTTAGATTTTATTTGAGATTAACTATGATATAAAAAAATTAAAAGAATAAAATGGAAATTTATTATGAATTTATTAAGTAAAACTTAAATAAAAAAATTCTCTAAGGTCTAAAAACTTCCTTTTCACTCTTCAATTAATTTTTATTTTGTTTGAATAAAATTTCTCATAAATATATATATATATATATATATATACACATAAAATAAATTATTATTCATTCTAAATTACAACAAGAAATGTAACCTATAACAACTCAGCATTACCCTATCAAGGAAATAAGTTAAGTCAAAGTCTTGGCATGCAAACTACCCATTTTATTATATATACGAGTATGTAAATTATTGTTCATGCATGTTTCTTACACAATTATTTTCCCCTCAACTTCCTTTGCAAGCAAAAATTATTGTAGTTAGTCAACTTATAATCTATTTGGCTTGGTTCATATTGTGTTTATAGCCTTCCTTAAAATGATGTTATATAAAATCTGTTTGTTTTAAACTTTTATTTTTTAGAATATAAAAAATGGTTTATGATTTGGAGATCTTGTGAAGTATTTGGTAATAGTTAATTATGAAAAACAGTTTTAATTTAGAAGTCAATTATAATTTAACTTATTTTTAGAAGGTACACAATTTTCCTTAAATTTTTTTTTGAGTCTAATTGGTGCATGCCATGTGCTGATAAAGGTAATTGTTTATCTTATAAGCGACGAAATTAAGATGTGATCAGTCAAACCATGATTCAGCATAAGGAAATATAAAAATAAAAAATGAAAATGAATCACCATAAGTCCATAAGGACCCCAGTTTCAATGCACTAAAACGGATCTCACAAACAGTTTCTTAGGTTGTAAGAAACAAAATTGTATAAATAATAAGAAGAAAATAGAAAGATGATAAAATGAGTATTATAATGAAGAACAATATATATATATAAAAAATACTGTATATTGTAGAATATGTACAATTCATACAACATGTTCAACATATAAATAGAGGAAACCATTTCCATTTATGCAACGAGTACAAATAAATAGAGGAGTAGTTGTTATACATATAAAGAAACCATCGTCATTTATACAACACGTACAATCAAATAGTTATAAATGATATATTTGTTTTCTTTCTCTCAAATAATTTATACTTAAAATTGTGTTCATGTTTTTAATCGATATTTTTTTTACAAAGATGACAGTAAAATTCAATAATAATACTTTATGTACATTATCTTAATTATCACATCACTAGGAATATCTAAAATTTAAGAGTGAATGCATTTGTATTTATTATATGTATTAGAAATCGGTCAACCCATTTTAAAAAGAGAGTTTGGTATACCAATTTTTTTTTTAAACTTCTTTTGAGAATTTAACATTAAAAATGTTAGTTTATTATTTAAAAATAGCGTTATCAAGAAATATTATTTTTTAAGAATTTGTTTTGCATAAGTTCTTTACAAAATTATTCTCACGACGGAGGTGAAAAACTATTTTTTTTAGATAATTTTTTTAATATAATAATAGTATTTTTATTTATATATTTAATGTATTAAAAATCTCTGATTCTCATATAACATTTATAAACACTTTAAAAAAATATTCATGAGTAACCAAATTAACATATTTTCATGATTTTTAAACATAAAAAAAATTTATTTACCAAATGCTTTCTAAGGAAAATCTTTAGGAAAACTTAAATGAGATAGAAAATTGAAGTTCATTTAATGATAGTGTTTGTCCTAATTTAATCTCAACTTCTTCATAAAAGATTAGTTGAACTATTTTTTTTTTCTTTCCAAATAAGTAGTTTTTAAATATTATATTTTAATGAAGGAAAGAAAACTTAAAAAACAATAACCAATTTTTTGATTTTTTGTTAATGATATTTTATCCATGACTATAGTGTGGGCTTCAAGAAAAGAGCTCGTGTATCCCAACAAATAGTAATGCTCTATTTTTGAGGATTCAAACAAATTATGTTAGTTATACGCCTTCGTCACTTTGTCTTTCTCTATTGGGGGAGACTCAGACAAATACGTTTTCAGGGGTGACACACACGTGCCACGTTCATACTCATACACTCTTAATTTGAGCAACGTTGACTTCATCATTTCTACATCATGATTTTTTTTTCTAGAAAAAGTGATAAAATTAAGAAATACTTTTAAGTTCTTAGAACATCTCTAGTGGGGTGCTTGTTGTGTATATTATTTTTAAGCAACAATGCTTACAATAATCCCTACTGGAGTTAGCATACATGGCAAGATAAGTTCTAAAATTTTTAGCTTTGTTGCTTGGAGAAGCAACGATACTTAGCACTCTAAAATTTAAAATGAAGAGATTTGATTGGTTGATGTTGATCCAAGGTGAAAATGTATAGAGATTTTGTAAAAAGTGTAGTGTGAGGTGTCAAAAAGTGTAGTATGAGTGGTAAAAAAGTAAGGGTACTTATAAGTAATTTTCATTGGAGCAAAAATTGTAAAAATATAATATGAGTTGCTTATGAGTGACGTGACATAATGTGACCCATTTAAAGTGGTTTGGATAAGCAACTCCCATTGTAGATGCTCTTACACTATTGAGTAGGATACTAATGTCATCACGAAAAAAATTAGGAGAGATTTACTTAAAATATTACTATAACACAAACTTAAATAATAAATAATTGTATTTAATTAATTACAGCCACCCAACTATTTTTCATAAAGCGAAAGCATTACAAAATTACCTTGGCTGAGTTGATTAAAGGCACGATATGATTCATTCATCATACATGCTTAAACTATTTTATATTGCACATTGATCCGTTGGCATATAAGCAAACTTTGAGGCTTGATATGAAAATAATAAAAAATAGATTAAGATCCAATGTTTGAGGCAGTTAGAGGACATATATATTTAATTATGATAGCATGAGAAGGTAGAGTGGAACTCCATCGATGGGCAACAACAACAAAGGTTGTCAGCAATCATACAGCAAAGAGAGAAGATGGGTTTCAACCTATGCCCTATTCTCCCTCTCCTTCCTCCTTTCCTTTGCTGTGACCAATTTCATCGTCAACTGGGTTGACCTTGTAAGTCATCATCATCACTTTTCTCTTCCTATCTTAATCACTACCATTCTTCATTCATTTCTCTCCACGTCTTCAACTTATCCCTTGTTTTAGCTTAATTTTCTTCCTTCTTTTCTCAATAGTATAATAGTATATTTGTGTGCATGAATATGTTGCTTACCTCTTTCTTTATTGGTCATGTTCTTGATTTTCCTTTATATAATGTTGAGTTAGAGGTTAATTTCACAATAATTAGAGATAAAATATAATTATTATTTATTAAATCAATCTTTTAAGATTATGTTAGACTCATAATCTATTTTCTTAAGATTTTGAAAGGTTGTTCCTTTCATAATTAAGTAGTATTTTCTTTATTTATCATAATTAAATTTAGTATTAAAAGTAACAATTCACGCACACTACTTACTCAGCTAGCCAGAACTCATTGGTTAGGTAAGCAGTAATTATGAATTATTTTGAAAGTCAAGTATGGAGAGAAAATTACATGAAAAACTGTTTTTTTTTTT